CTTGGTATTTCAATCATTTTTGTGTTCAGGATAAAAGTTCTTCTATATACCAATTTTGCTCAAGATATCTTAACTTCAATGGCTGCTTCTAATCCTCAGCAAATGATTTCCATGCAAATCGCAAATAGTGTGGGTGGCTCTACACGTGCTCCATTACTAGTTGTGGAAGAATATGATCACTAGAAAGTTAGAATGGAAAGATTTCTATTGGCCAATGATAAAGGTGAAGAAATCTGGAGATCCGTCAAAGAAGGTCCTCATGTTCCTGTAAAAACCACTGTAAGAGATGTTGTTGCTCAGCTTATGGGTCAAGATGAAGTTTACCCAGCTCCTCTAACTACATATGATATTGAGAAGCTACATGCAATTCAAGTTGCTTTCTCAAAAATGATGTTTGGTGTTCCTCCCTCACTGTTTGAGCACATCAGGTTGTGTAAATCAGCCAAAGAGATTTGGGATACTCTTCAGGTCTTGATTAAAGGTTTGGAAAATATGAAAGACAAGTGTCTTACCTCAGTCGTCAATGACTTTGATACCTTCACAACCACTCCTTGCAAATCATTAGCCTCAGCCTCCAACCGTTACTGAATCATAGTTAACAACATGACTGCTCATGGGATTGTCCGAACTCCACTGGAGTACAATCTCAAATTCACAAACAGTCTAGGTAAAGGATGGGGAAATGTGAAATCCTATCTACAAAGCAATGGTTCCTTAAAGAAGTTGAAACTCTATCAACTCTTTGATGAACTTCAAGGGCTTGAATCTAATGTTGCTCAAACCATAAGGGAACTCTCCGGAGGTCCTCTTGCCCTTGTCAGTTCTTTCGAACTAATCATTCTGAGCTCATCTACTTCGGATCCTTTCAAATCCCCCGTTCAGTCAGTTCAAACATCTACATCTACCGTACCCTCACAAATCTATCCTATTAATGATTCCGAAGCCATGGACTCTGAACTCCGTTTCCAATAGGAGTTTGCTCTGCTCTCAATGAGGTACAAACGCCCTTTCAAACCATACCAAAACCGATTCCATGCTACTCACCAGAACAATCCTCAACCATACTTAGCTCCGGAACCTAAACTCTCTTCGGATAATCCTCCTGCATACAAACCAAACCTTTCTAAGCCAAACTCTACTTCCAAACCCTCTCAGAGTTCCAAATTGGACAAACCAAAATTGTGTGTCAAAAGTGTGGACATGCAAACCATTTTGCTAAAGATTTTCTGGATGATGCTCCGCAAAAACCAAAAATCAAGGATTCTGCCTACTACGCCCGAAAGGCACAAGAGATGGCTGAAAGTGAAAAAGCTTTTGTAACAACGGTTTCAAGAGATGTTGAAGGATATTGGTCTTTCGGGGATGATGATGACATGGTAACTGAAAGAAATATGTGTCTAATGGCAAGACAAACAGTTCAATGTGATGAAACTTATTGGTCCTCAGGATCAGAAGGTGAAGATGATGCCTCTGAACCTCACTACTGCTACATGGCGACCAATGATCCACCAGGGCGAAGCATCATTCAGCAGGTACTTTGTGCTTCGGAGCAAGATACAATATGGTATATTGATAGTGCTTGCTCCATGCACATTACGGGGCAGAAAGATTTTCTGCGAGACTTAAAGCTCTCTCCAAATGTTGGTTACGTGACATATGGTAACAACTCCAACTTTCAAATTCGTGGTTATGGAATTATCACCAATGGAAACTTCTCTATCTCAAATGTGGCTTATGTAGCTGATCTGAAACATAATTTGATAAGTGTTGCTCAGCTCACAGATTCAAATCGACGTGTGGAATTTTGCAAAAACTATAGCTATGTACTGACCGGAGATTGAAAAGAGTGCTTGATCAAGTCCAACTGCAACAAAACCATTTACCCACTTGACATCAACATGATTATTGGCAAACCGCAACTCTTCCTTATCACCAAAGCTGATCCTAACGTCAGTTGGTTATGGCACCGAAGGCTCGCTCATCTAAACTTTCGGTACATGTATGATCTCGTGTCTGGCGAAATGGTGAGAGGTTTACCTCTCCTCAAATTTGAAAATGATCATTTGTGCGCTGCTTGTGAGTGTGGTAAGAAATTGAAGAAGGGTCGTCCTGTTATCATTGTAAAATCCATTTCGAATCCATTGGAGCTTCTACACATCGATCTTTCTGGACCATCCACGATACAAAGTCTTAATCATAAGAAATACATTCTTGTGATTGTTGATGATTTTACACGGTTCACTTAGGTCTTCTTCCTAAGGATGAAATACGAAACAACCTCTGAGCTCATCAATTTTATCAAAGGAATAGAAGTTCTTATCAAACTCCCACTTAGGAGAATCCGAAGTGATAATCGTTCGGAATTCACAAACTCCACCATCGAGAACTTTCTAACTGAGAAAGGAATTGACCATAATTTTTTTTCTCCTTACACTCCTCAACAAAATGGTGTAGTTGAATGGAGGAACAAAACTTTAGTTGAAGCTGATTGATCAATGCTCAATTTTGCAAATCTTCCACTCTATTTTTGGGTGGAAGCCGTTTCTATTACATGCTTCACTCAGAATAGGAGTATCATCAATCGACACCTCAAAAAAACTTCGTACGAAGCCATGAATGCACGAAAGCCTACAATCTCTTTTCTTGATGTGTTTGGATGCAGATGCTTCATCAAAAATAATCGTGATCAGCTTACCAAATTCCAACCCAACGCTGATGAAGCTATTTTCCTTGGTTATTCCTCAAAATCAAAGGCTTATCGAGTCCTCAATCAACGTACTCGAGTTATTGAAGAAAGTTTTGATGTTACCTTTGATGACAACCTTGTTCAGAGTTCCGGTCCCACTCACATCACCACTCACATCATGGAATCTGATGCTCCTCCTCCGGAATATCCAAACATTCAATTAATTCATGAAGTAGACTTTGAAACTCTCTTTGGTCATTCCGAAACAGCCCTTGATTCGGAATCTCGAACGAGGCCTACTACAAATACAAATTCTTCTTCGGAAGCTCTTGTCTCGCACATCTCCGCTCCGATTCCGAGTCTCCCTCCATTTGATTCCGAACCATTTCCACCTTCTCAGGTTGAGGGGGAGAATCATCCCTCTCTTGAATCAAATGTGGACGGCTTCCAAGATACAGTTGCTGATTTTGATGACTCAAATCCGATAAACATCGATGACAATGAAAATTTCTTTTAGTTCCCTTCTGATGATGATGTCAACCTCTCCGGTTCAGAAGTTCAGGGGAAGCATCATCCTCAAATTCAGACCATTCAGAGGGAGCAACTCATTCCTATTGTTGATATCGGATCGTCTGCTACTCTACAACTTCCAAGATTGCATGTCTGGACCAAAGATCATCCTCCGAACCAAGTGATTAGAAACCTCAATGCCGATGTACAGACTCGTTCTGCTACAAGTATCCAAAATGAATGTTATTTCTCAGCACTGATATCCATGGTTGAACCCAAATCCATCAAGGAAGCATTAGAGCATGTTGACTGGATTACAGCCATGCAATAAGAACTGGCAGAATTTGACCGAAATGAAGTATGGACTCTCGTGCCTCCTCCTCCGAATCATCCCATTGTCGGTACGAGATGGGTATTTCGCAACAAGCTAGATGATACAGGAGTCATTATCCAAAATAAAGCAAGACTAGTGGCCAAAGGTTTTACTCGAATTGAAGGGCTCGACTATGATGAGATCTTTGCTCTTGTTGCAAGACTTGAAGCTATCAGAATCTTCCTTGCTTATGCTGCTCATAAACGATTTAAAGTCTACCAAATGGATGTCAAAAGTGCCTTTCTAAATGGTGAACTTGACACTGAAGTATACCTTCAACAACCTCCTGTTTTTGTGAATCTCTCCTTTCCCAATTACTGTTACAAACTTCGGAAGGCTGTCTACGGACTCAAACAGGCTCCTCACGCATCGTACGAGACCCTCACGGATTTTCTCAAGCGCTCCGATTTCCAAAAAGGAATTCTAGATCACACTCTATTCCGAATATCAAATGGAAAGCATCTCATGCTGGTACAAATTTATGTGGACGACATCATTTTTGGATCTACGGATTCATCTATGGTTGATGATTTTGCTAAACTGATGATCAATCGATTCCAAATGAGCATGAATCGAGAGTTCAACTTATTTTTTGGTCTTCAAATCAAACAGACTAACAGAGGAATCTTCATTCACCAAGAGAAGTACATTTCAGAACTTCTCAAGAAATACTTAATGGACACATGCGCCACAGCCAAGGTACCAATGGGCTTCAGACACAAGATCTTTGCCGACCCTTCAGGTGTTTCAGACCAAGATCAACTAGAAACTTTACACATTATTTGTTTCAATAAGATGGTGTTTGGCAAGATTTAACTGAAGAAAAAATGGAATGAATCATTCCATTGGAATGGTGAAAAAAAAATTTATAAAGTGGATTTAGTTGAGATTAATTATTTTTATTTTATATAGGGATAATCCACCAAAACAAATAATCTAGCTTCATCAACCTAACTAATAATCTTGGCTTCATTCATCTACCAACCCAACAATACATAGACCCTTCTTCAGGTTATTTCGTGAATTCTTCAATCTATTAAGTAATGTTTGGTATGATGGAACTGGGGAAAACATCGTGAGCCATAATCCAAGGATGTAGTCGCATTTCTTTTATGTTCTAAAATTCAATACCAAATTTTTGCATATTTGTGTCATGTGATTCTCAAATCTATTTAGTAATTTTTGCACTTTCCATACAACCATTGACCAAACACCTTCAAAGTGTCATCGATCCACCGCTATAATCAATCCCTGGTCACTAGTGATAGCATCCCTCAACACGCATGTTTGTTCAACGATTTATTTGATTTTTTTTAAACTTTCTTATAAATAGATGGCATCAACAATTAACAAGATAAAAAGAGCTTTTGAGACATGGTTTTGGATACGTGTGATATCACCAATGATTTCATTTCAAAATGTAGTATATATGTTTTCATTAATTCCAATCGCATATTGGAGTGCTAGAGTATAAATATGTGATCATTATCTCTTAAAACATCAAGATCTTCAACTTGCGATCCATCCTCCATGACGATTACAGTCCCTCTTTTTCCCACCTTCTCTTCTGCATGACACCATGATTTTACAATTTCAGGTGAAAATTAAGCTTCGCAATTATAATCCATGGAGTTCCTCCCTATTATATATACTAATTACCTGCTAACTTCAAAAGCTCCTCCACTGTTTCTGGCAAACGAACTAGTTTTCCTGTCTTTCCGCTGTCTGTTGTTTGGTCATCTGGATGATGTCCATGGATTATCACCCTAGACGCAAATGCTCTGGAAGGTGAATCAATGGGTGTTCCTGAAAATCATGACATTAATTACTCATTTACTTGTTCATACCATTGTTAATTTCTTGTGAGATGTAATGGACCAGATTGAAGATCACCAACCTTGCATATCTTGTTGATCATAACTTAACGTTTCATCATGATTTCTTGATTCGTTAAGCGAAATTCGCTGAAAATTAGTTTTGTTATTAATTTAGAACATTCAGAAGAGGTATAGTGATGTTTTAAAGATGAATGACTAACCTCGATGTTCAAGTCACGTAGAAGGTCTGTTAAGAATGGTATCTCTTCTTGTACCTCCTTCTTTAAGTCCTTCAAGTACTGTAAACCAACATATATATGAGCTGATCGGATATATAAATGCATGAACTTTAAAAACCAGACAATTTATTAAGAACCTGAACCTGAGTGAAATTGGCCATTATCGTCTTCCCATCTTCACTAAGTGGCTGGATCAGTTCCTTGAAGTGATGATGACTGATTCGAACTACCTGAGAAAGTTTCTTGCTTCTCACCGTGAAAGGTTGGGGAATGTTAAAGAACACACCGATTTCCCCGAACATGTCCATCGGGCCTAGCTTTGTCAAGAACTATATGTTCATGAAAGAATTGATCAAACTAAGATTCATAGTTAACAAAACATACGTATCTTGTTAATGAAGGAAAAAGTTAAATGTACATGCTCCATTCCATTTTGATGAGTTAGCACCTCCTGCATTCGCACATGCATGATTAAAACAGTCATTCGGGTTCACATAATAAGAATTGGAGAAGGAAAATGTTCATATTGTTGATGAAAGATAGGTAATGTACGTACCATGGCTCCAGACACTATGATATAGAAATCTGTTGGTATCTCATTTTGTAGAATAACTTCAACTTTTGGTGGAAAGTATTCTGCTTTCAAATCTGCAACCAGTTGGCTGCTAAGATCTTCTGAAATCCCTTTGAATAGATACGTTTTCTCCACTGTTTTGCGAAAAAGATGTTGAGCGATACTGGACCGAATCGCTTTCGGTAGATCCTCAAGAACTTCTTCTTGCTGTAGCTCCGCTGTCTTGAACTTGAGTTGCATGTGTGCCAACATTTGCTCTTTCAACCCTTCAGGTAATCTGTTCTTGCTTGCATATCTTAAGATCTCGTTGATCGAATCCCTCTTTAATTAGTTCATCAAAAAGTATATTAGTTAGATCACAGTTAGAACGATTCTATATATGGAGATTAACAGAAGTGAAAGAGAATTACCATCATAAAGGTTTTAACAGCGCTATGAACAATCAAATTGGTCATGTTTCCGATCAAATAAGATGTGAGCCCAATGTTGAACAACATATAAAAGATATTGAACACTTTCTCTCCGGTGTTCACCGCATGTAAGTCGCCATAGCCGACAGTTGTAAGGGTGACGATAGACCAGTATAAGGAGTACGTGTACCCTAGCCATATGCTTCTATCTTCGAAATCCTGGATGATAGACCCGATCCATGTTTCCTCCGAGGGGCTATGGTGTGTGGCTATCCAGTAGTAGAAGCATCCTGCTGAATGCACCGCAAAAAGCGTAACCTGTAGAGCTTAATTCCTAACCCTCGTAAATCTTCATTTTCGAGTGAAAAACAATCGATAGATGCTTGTAATCAGATCAAAACTTACGCATATGAGTTTGGTGCATCGTGTCAAAAAGTAGCTGAACCTCGTATCCTTCTCTAACCTGTTGAGAAGACACGTGTCGGTCAGGGTCGGAACAAAAATTGGTGTTAGGGAAAAAAAACAAATAGATGGCCCCAAAAAATTAAAATACTTCAAATTTGTCAGTTATATTATAAAAAACGAATGATATAAACATCTATTGATTTTCTTCGCCTTAAAACTCTCACTTCTCATGACAGATGTAGATTTCAAATTTTAAATGATCAGTTTTTTTTTTTTTTTTCTAAATTGAAGTTGTTACAAATGAATTTATCTAATAAGATGTATGTGATTGAAATTATGAAGTTTTTAATATTTTGGAATGTTATAAAAAAAATTATTGCATATACATTATTATTTGACCGTTTCTTTCACCAAGACTATGGTATATAATACCCACGACGTTGGCGTGAATTTTCTTTAAACTCACCCTCTTCTTCACACTAAATCACACCACACCATATGTGGTGTACAGTTTATTCACAATTCAGCCACGAGAAGAAAGAGAAGAGGAGGGAAGAAGGAAGTTAATTCAGAAAGAGTGAAGAGACATAATCGGGCTTAGCCTCTCGTGGTAAACACAACGAAATGCCATGAACGACTGTTGCATGACGATACCCCCAAGGTGATGTGTACGATCATGGCTTGGATGCTAGCTGGTCATGAGACGTCTTCGTTGCATATATTACCCATGACCTAAGACATTTTGTAGAGAGAAGGTTTTTAATTTTCTAAGATTAAAGTTCCAAAATAGTTATGATTAGGCCATCATTACGTGTCGGAAATGACAAATTGCACCGTATTAATATTCTTGATATCATTATTATTAACTTTGCATTTCAAAAGATAACAAAAAGTATTGTTTTCATAAATTATTTGAATTTATATTGTATATAACTTATTGTTTTGGAGTATGATTATTTTAGAAAAATTAAATATTTTTATACTTTTTTATTATACCTATCTTCCTATTTATATAAAATAACGACATGTAGAATCCACTAGTTCTTTCTATTAATTTTGATATGTGCTTTGATCTAGTGCATAAGAAACAATGCATAGAAAATCCACTAGTTCTTTCTATTAATTTTGATATGTGCTTTGATCTATTCAATAAGAAATAATGTGTAGAAAATCAACACGTGTTTATATCATTCATTTGTTATACTTTTGTTTCATTGTGTTAGGGTCCAACGAGTCATGCGCAATAATATTATAACCAATAGATTATTGACTTAGTTTTTTAAAATAATTACTTTTGTCATCTAAAACGGATTAGCGTCGCAACATATTGCTCGTTTGCCTTCAACCTCAGTGTAAAAATTTCAAATGATATTTTCTAATAATAATAATAATAAGAAGAAAAGTAGTTACAAACTTAGTACAACATTTTTTAACCAAGAAATATTTATATATTTTCTTTTATCTTTTACAAGTTTTGTTTTTTGATTTAAATCCAAACAAAACAGCGTTATACCACTAATTGTGTATATGTATATACTAAATGGTAGTATAGAAAAGTAATTATGGATTCCCGAAAATTTTGGGTCATGGGAGGTCGCACATATTACACCCACCTTAGATCTTCCGTTGTACTTGTACTTGACACGAGCACACTCGTGGTTGAGCTGAACCACGACCACGACCGTGCACACCACCCCGGCCGGTCGTGGTCGTTATGGATCGTGTTCCCGACGACGAATTGAAACGGTCAATGAAATTCAATTTGCTTCTTTTGATTGTTGAACGGTTAATTTGTTAACTTTATTTATTTTTTCAAAAACTTAATACCTATATAAATCTAATAAAATCAATCACATTTCATCAAATTTTTACTTTCATTCTAAACCAAAAAACACGAGGATTTGAAAGTATTAAAAAATTTTAACTCGAATGATAACGGGAAATTCATTTCGACATTCTTTAATGTTGTGCAATACATTCACGGTGAAGAAAGTTCGAATGTTGCTCGTACAAGGGCGGTCGTCAATCGTGATCGTCAAACCGCACACAACTTATTGGTACGTGATTACTTCGTCGATAATTGTCTTTACAATGAAGACTCATCCGAACGTTGTTTCCGTCAAAATAAGGCGATATTGTTACGTATTAGTAATGCTTTAGAAGTCTGTTATGCTTTTTTTTCAAACAAAAACCCGATGCTAAAGGAAGAATGAGTTCTAGTAGTATACAAATGTGTGCGGTTGTGCTTAGGTATTTTGGATACGGTATAGCATTGGATGCATCTGAAGAATACTTCAAAATATCCGAGAGGACCGCAATTGATTGTATAGATTGGTTTTGCGCATGTGTGTATGAGGTTTTTCATCAAGAATATTTGCATAAACCAACTCCACGTGATATTGAGAGATTATATTCGGCTCATGAAGAAAGGCATGGATTTTCGAGTATGCATGGCATGGTCAATTCACTCGATGAGATATAGGTAAACCAAGTATAATCCTAAAAGTTGTCGCATCTCAGGATTTATGGATATGTCATTCGTTTTTTGGAGTCGTGAGGTCTAACAACGACATTAACGTTCTTGGTCAGTCTCCATTTTTTAACCAAGAAATATTTATATGATTTTTTATGTATTTTTTATTTAAAATTTAATTTAAAAAATGAGATGGAGTGGTATGTTTAGTAATATGTATCTCATGGTTAGTGGTAGGGAATGTGGTGATTATGTGACACCCATCATTATAGTTATTAGTGATGGGTATAACGGATAACCTTAAAAATCTGATGGCGATTAGTGATGTTTTCATGATTCGAACATATGACCTAAGGGTTCATACCTTGAGAAGAGCTCACTAACACGCCTTAGCCGCCACAGCCTGAGTAGATTGAGGAATCCAAAGGCCTCACCATGGTGGAGCTTTCCGGTAAAGAGTCGATAGAGGGACTGAAACGGCAACGTTGACGCGACATCCATCGGAAACATCAAGTGTGTGACATACCTTTTACACAAAGGGATAGGTAAAATGGATAATGGTTTGTATATGGTAGAATTATTTGTCTGATGTGATTTACCTTATAGCTATCTTCTTGTGATCGTCGACTAGCAAATATGTAGTTTTATCCAAGTAAGCCACAAAGAACGTTAGGATGATATCAATGGCGAAGAATAAGTCAACTACCAAATCAACGAACATGAGAGAGCCTGTAGCGACATTCTTGAAAGCTAGCTCGAAAGGTGATGACCATGCGGAGTAAATGACTAATACAACTAGAAATGCTTGCCACCACCTGCAACAAAATTAAAAGTTTGTAAAAAATAGAAATTGATTAATAAAAGTATGTATTATATTTTTTATGATTAATCATGTATATTATGGATGATGAGTCAAATAAGTACTATTAGAAATTAGCTTAACTAAACATGTCGACGTCCAAAATCTAGTTAAGTATTTACTATACATAAATAGTGGATAAGACCATATATAATTCTAAATATATTAAATTGTTTATTTAATTAAAAAATGGACCTTAATTAAATTTTCTTAGGTCAACTTCCATAACCCGATCTAAAATTTACTTGTTTAATCGGTTCACATGTTGATGAAAATATATCCCATATTCATAGATCGATGTCTTGCTTGGAAAAATAAAACATGTTTAGATCTTTAGTTAGGAGTAAAATATAAATCTGTCTTATCGGTTCTCAAAAAAAATCTATTAAATTAAGTCTCTTTGTGCTCCTTTAGGTTGGTGATATGATCACTCTTAGAGAAAGGATCTAAATCTGTTTGTACTCCTTTAGGTTGGTGACATGTAGCATGTCATCAAATGTATCTTGTACGATATGCCAATTTGATATATGACATGGACAAAATTAAAGAACTTACCGATACCTACGATCATATGGTGCAATGACATATTTCTTAAGAGGAGGAGAATCATCACCAACAATAGTTCCAAAAGCAGGCAAGAGGCTACTCGATACAGAGGCTAAGTTTTTCATCACTTCCCCGCTTGAATGTCGTCGATACAACAACGGCATCGGTGATCGTGTCTCCGACATAGTCTCTCCCATCTCTAGCTACTTTAGTTGGGGTTTTTAGTCGTGTTCATGTTTTGTCATGATATATATAGTGGTATAATTATTCTCATATTAAGATCTAAAATATAAAACTATAAAACAAATAACATATTTGTAGGGAAGATAATATAGTTAATTAACAAGTAGAGATTTGACTTTTCTGTTTTTGGAAATACAAACACTGAACTTTTGCTTACTCCATGGCTATAATTAAATGATTTTGCTAACTTTCAAATTATATATATATATATATATATATATATATATATATATATATATATATATATATATATAATATATATATATATATATATATATATAGAAAGAGAGATGAAAGTTCGATTAAGAAAATAAAACAGGTTGAGAATGGAATCATTCTCAACCAACCATTTATTTTATCGGAAAAAACTCTAACGAGCCGGCGAAACGGTTGATTAGTAATATCCAAATATGAATATAAATGTAATTCTAAAACGTTTATATATAAAAAATTTATGAAATGTGCATATATATGCATATCATGTAATGTAGGGGTGGAATTGGTAGATCCAATCTATTTTTTCAATTAACCATGTACCGTACCGATTATAATTAGTCCAAAAAAAAATATCTACCTCTGTCATACCAAATATAGTTGGTACCAATTTGTTTGGTATCATTAAGTTGAGTTGGTATATGTTGATAATGGTATATACCAATAGTATGAGGATTTTATGAATAAGGATTTTTGTATTTTTTTAGCATTGTTAAACTTCAATGTGTGTGTGTTGGGGGGTGGGGGGGGATAACATTCTAGTAATGGGTAAGATTGAAAGATTGAAACTTCAATCCAAAATGATTTTATTCATTTCTAACATGAGTTTATAGGTTAAAACGTTGGAGGAATTGGACACACCAATATAAGTTTAAAATTATTAATTTTACTAATTCAGTAAACGCTAACAACAAAGCATGTAAATCATTAGCACCAAACATACTTGAATTATATATATATATATATATATATATATATATATATATATATATATATATATATATATATATATATATATATATCAAGGTTGCAGAAATCGTTCGACGTATGATCGGTGGTAGATTGGGCTTAAGGGATTAATCGGAGACCATTAATTACTAAAAATTAATAAATATAACATTAATCTTAAGAATATAACATTATAATTAAAAAAATTATTAAAATTTTAATAATTATAACATTATAACATGAAACTATGATTACAAAAATCACTTTGATCCTTAATACATCATATCTAAATAACCAACTACTACATTTTAAATGTTGAGGGAATAGGAACAGTTTCAGAAGCTTTTTTTCTTCGTCTCCCTCTTGGCTTCTTTGGTTCATTCGTTTCAATATTTGTTTCTCCATTCCTTTTTGCTTTGACTTTGAAGACTACGAGGAACTAGAGTGCATTTTCATTAAAAATATAAATAAGATGTATTCAACATACACGAGCACATGGTATGTAATTCAAATTATTGATTTCAATGGCCATTCAATCAAATTAATAGTTAACAGGAGCATATGTGAGCGGTGAGTTTTATAATCACTCAACTTAACAGTTAACATGTTAGGCTTAAATGAAAAACATCACTCAACCTAACTTACAAATGTTTAACGTATCTTTAACAATTAACAGGTTATGTATATGTGCTTAACAGTTAACATGTTAACCAGTGAGGATAACTCAAACTAAAAAACAACATAATACCTAGTGAAACAAGGAGAAGTGGTCGGAGGATAATTCAAATTGCAAATTTAAACAAGCAAAAGTGGAGAATTAAACAAGTCGCTGCTTGTTCCTTCCAATTAATCGTCCCTATAATCACAAATCAATCAATTAAACAAGGAAAAATGGAGAATCAAATTTCAATGAGACAAATATCAAATAGTTGGTGTTCACCTATTGTGACGAATTCAATCACAACACAAACATCGATTCAATTACACTACCACGTTACAATCCCTGAGAATTTGTGATTGAAGAACAAAAATCAAGATTGAAGAACTAACCTGCGATGGAGAACGATGGTTGAATCGACAATGGAGCAGCAGTGGAAGGAAAATGATGATGTATGAATGATGGTTGAGCACGATTGAAGAACTAAGAGGCAATGGAGCAGCAATGGAAGGAAAATGGGAAACGAATGGAAGAAAAAGATTTTCAATTCAAGGGTTTCGACACTTCAATCTAGAAAAACTTCTGTGATCTTTCTCCTCCACCGCCGATCGCGTCATCACATTTGCCAAGCAGATACCTTCGGTTCGACCTCATCTTTCTTCGATGGCTAACGATAGCAAGATAGGAGTTGATGGGGAAGAACATAATGCAAAGGAGGTATATGGAAGAGTAAAACTTTGAACATCCCACATCGAAGCTGGGAACATTCTATCAAGGAAACGATACTCTATAAAAGGGGATCCTCAATACCAAACCAAATCCATTTATGTTCTAGGCAAGTTGGCTCCTTTGCGTTGGTGGGCCCTTTAGAGTCATTTGGTCCGATTTGGTTCGATTTGGTCCGAGTTGGGCCGGTTTTGACCGATATTGACTAAGGACGCCTAGCCTAACCCTCTAACACCTATTCGTAGGCGGTTGGAGGCCGCCAAGCGTCTAAGTGCCGATTAATCGACAGCCTAGACCGATTTTTGCAACCATGATATATATATATATATATATATATATATATATATATATATATATATATATATATATATATTCAATCGGTTGGTATGGTACTACCATGGTATTGAAAACTTTATACCACTACCATACCTTAATTTTACAGTTGGTATGGTACTACCAACAAAAACATGTTTGGTTACGAAATAATAAGTTATAGCCCGGAGATACCTATATCCTTTCCAAACATACTGAACCAGCATGTTAGAGGGTCACTCGAAGTTAGTCGTATATACGCTCGAACCATTAGATACCGAACAGGCACAACGCTTTTCAAGGAAAGGAAAGAACGAAGAGAAGGTACAAGGTGATGTTGAAATAGTAATTACAATATCTCGAAACTATGAGAATACAGTCTGTACAAGGATATGTGGCTGGTGGATCCAGACACAGTCACACCACAGCTGTATAACGACATGTATAGTACCGATAGTTGTACCTTCAAGCATAATGCCATAAATGCGATAAGATGTCGTGTCAGGATCGATACAGGGAGAGCTTGCTTCTTCTTCCTATCGCTATAAATAGACATCTCGACTCGTCAAGAAGGTAAGTACACGAAAACTCACTCTTAACTCTCATGTATAATCAATCAAATACATAGTCTTTCGCTAACTTAACTGTCGAAGAGTCATTCGAGATTCCCTCCCGATTGATTGCTTACGGTTTGTTTGTAGTCTTCAGGTCAATCTACTAGCGTGGGGAGAAGCAACCCTTGAGTGAAAGATGGAAGACGGGCCTGATGGCACATCAAGTAGCGCCATCCGTGGGACTCCACATCAAACAACTGTCGTGAGCACACCAGCAGTTGGAGCGAGTCCCATTGCGAGAATGCAAAACCTAAAAGGCCCATAAGCAACCCCACATGTTGCTACTGTGGTAAGACATCAGAACGTCGTCGCCAGAAAGTTTGTCAATGACGAGGGAGCGAATTTGCAAGGTAAAATGGCAAAACAAGTGGAGTTGGAAGAATTTGAAGCATTCAAAAGCTTTAGGGTTGTGATAAAGTTACAAAGTGGAAGACAACTCCAGAAAGAGAAAGAATGAGATCGAGTTTCATTCTACACAGACCAAACAGGGGACTCTGACGAAGAAGAAAAATAGTCAAACCCTCGCGAAAAAAGATCAAGCAACAACAAGAAGAATGCAGATCGACTACCCAATGCAGAAGATGCTTATAAAAAGCAAGAAAAGCTACCTGAAGTAATAGAAGCAAAACAAGACCACCAAGCATTCAGGAGCCTAAACTTCCTCTCTGCTTTTACAGATGACATTAACAAAACACCCATCCCTAGAGGATTGAAAGGGAAAAGGGTACCACCTTACGACAGCACTTGAGATCCAGACGATCATGTAGCCAATTTTCATTGGGCAATAAAAATGATACCCATGGATCCAAAATTATGGTACATGTACTTAGCGGGAACCTCAGACGGATCTGCTCGATATTGGCTTGCCAGCTTACCACCTCGAAGTATAGGAAGCTTCGAAGATCTATGTCAAAAACTCTATAATATCTTCATACATCAACGAAGGTTCCAACAACAAGCGCATGCAATATTTGCCTATCGACAAGGTGAGGGAGAATTAAACAAAGCATACTTTAAAAGATTTAATTAGATCAGAAGATAGATGCCAACTCGAGTTGACCCTGTGATCATAGCGGCGTTCACCTACGGGCTCTTAGAAGAGGAGCTATTTCGAAAGCTGGTAGGGTGAGAATGAGCTAATGCAGAAAGAATGATACAAAAAGTTAATCGGTTCCTAAGGCAAGAGGCTGAAAGTGCCGAAAAAGCAAGAATGGAAGGAAAGACCATGGTGGGATGAGGAAAAAAGGAAGAACGAATTAAAACATACATGTACCAACCCAAGGGGCTACCCCGCCATAGCTACGGGAGAAGGCCACACCAAAGCGATAGGGGAAGGCGAAATGGCCGCTATCAGCCATATCGATAGGAAGCTTATGAAGCTTACACTCCACAAAGCCCGAATAGGCACAAATTAGAAAAAAAAATAGAAAATACCCTCAAGACCCAAACAAATACTGCGATTTCCACAAAAAGTTGGGCCACACGACGGAGGATTGTGAAAGCTTAAAAACAAAAAAAACAAAAAAAAAAAAAAAGAGAGAAAGTGGTCGTTAAGAGTCGACGAACGAACGGCGAAGAGAGATGACGCACCCAAGTATGACGCCGAAATTGCCATAGTGCGAGGAGAAGTAGATTGTGAAAACAATTTAACACGGAAGCGGAACGAAACTAGCATTGAGTTCAGTCTTCATGATCCAATACCCTTTGATCATAAAGGGACAGAGCCTCTGATAATAAAAGAGGCGATAGGAAGGACGTTGATTAGAAGAGCTTGCATGGATAATGGAAGTGTC